TTCTAGATCCTTCTATCATAAAGGTATATTTTCCCATTTGTAACCAGATAATGTTCTGCAGTGAGCACATTGTGTGAATATCTTATTACTTCCAAACCCCTAGCCTCAATTGTTTTATTGTTTTCACTGAATCAATGATTACATAGGTTACAAATGGACATCTAAACATATTTCTCCTTTATTTATTAGCTGGCATTTTTCTTTTGCTTTTTAATTTTAAAAGAAGGGCAGGAAAGATGGCAGCAGTTCAAAGCAGGTTATGCGTTTGCAGAGAACCCAAGTTGGGTCTCATGTTGGTAAGCTCATAACTGCCTAAAACTGCAACTTCAGGGGATCTGAATCCCTCTTCTGGCCTCCCGATGTATCTGCATGTATATGGTGCACATAAACCCAAGCAAAGGCACACACATGCTCATAAATAAAAAATAATAAAAATGACATAGATTTATGAATAGCCTTAAATTCACTGAGTGTTCTATTACCACTGCTCTAATTTTATTGATAAAATTGTCCTAAGAAGACTCTTCAATATGTTTTCTATGTTCATTACCACAAATCTCATACTTCAAGCATTTCCTTTCTGTCTGGCACCATAATGTATTTGAGGTTCATCTTATACATTTCCTACTTCAGATGTATACGTTTCTGCAAGAGCTTCCATTTTCTTTTAGTAGATAATAATTTTAGAATATTTTCTTGCAGTACATGTATTATTTATAAATAAAACACATATCTTGAAGGTGCTACTGAGTGGTATTCCTAACTAACACAATGAGGAGTGCTTTTACCCTATTTGAAGCTGCATAACTCCTTGTGTCATTTAGTTTATCACCTTTTCTTTAATGTGAGTAAAAATATTTGATACATTTGCAGTAGGGAAGAAAGATTGAATTCAACTCTATGCCCAACTTCTCTTTATTCATATCACTTCCACCAAGCCTTGGAGAGGGAAACAAGGTCTACAATTGTATCAGCTCTGCAAGTTTTGAGGATCTTCCGTCTTGTGCTATTAATGCCTTTCCCACCCCACATGCTTGACCAGGGGAATGCATGTCACATGGCAGAGTTGTGTTTTGTTGTGAGAGTTAATACTGAGTGTCAGCTCTGTCTAGTCTTTAAAAAAATTCTCAAAAAAAGGGACTTGAGTGCTTTCCTCTAAGTGTTCAATTCCCCTTCAACTAACCACTGCTCTTACACTAGCTTCCTTGGAACAATAAGGAACTTTGAAAAAGTCCAAGTGAATACATTGGTGAGGGCATTACATAACAACAACTGAACTGTTTTAAGGAGTCACGCTAATGTTTAGTCCATTCTTCTCCTCATTCCTTCTGTCATCTTCATTTACCTAACATCTTCTACTTCCTGCTTCCCTCTCTATTATTCTCCAATTTCCTTCCTTTATGTCTTTTTTCTCAACCCTTCCCTCCATCCAGCCATTTCCCTGGGGATTCTGCTTTGATCACAGTCTGTGTTACAAACCAGAAGATACTAGAGTATATTAAGATGGGATGAAAAAGAGCACTGGGGCTATTAACCTGGAGAAAAATTGGAAAGGATGACAGTAATATGCCACATGTTTAAAATAGGATAGTTGGATCTGCTACAAGGACCACTAAGCTGTTTTCTGAGAAATAACTCAGAGGGATGGGGGGCAAAGAGGATCTGGGAGGAGTTGGAGTGAGGAAAATGCATGATCAAAATATATTATATGAAAAAAAAAACTTTTTTAAAGATTCCGCTTCTCTGTGCTCTGAGTTATAGGCATCTTACAATCAGCTAATAACAACCTCAGATTTCTTCAAGGGGGACTGTAGATGCTATTCTTGAAGGAAAATAAATCTGGGGTTTTATAGTTTTGTCAATGTTTACCTGTAGGGTTCTAATTTAAATTCAGGCAACATAACAGTTACGTAAGAGACTATTTTGCTCATTTTGTTTTCTTCTAGACCAATCTTCTTTGTACAGTGAACATTTGAATTGTACTGGGAGTTTTAAAGGGTTGATGTTCAACAATTCCTGCTGACTACAGTAGATAATTATAGACAAACAAGGGCTGAACTATTTGAGTAAAATAATGAAAAGACTGTCATCTGGGTAAAAGTCAAGCCTTTCTGTGGACAAAGGCTTCTAATCTTGGACACAGGAGCCAATTAGTTCGAGTCTTTGGAACATTAATTTTGTGAAGACCGTCCTTCACCCTTTCCAATGTTGACACAAGGAAAATGAAGCACAGATGTTTTTAGAAGTGAGAAAAAATTATCTTGAGTCTGGTATTATCAGCAGAGTGAACTTGCCCATCTACAGAAGAATGATTATTACTAAGTGTGTAATAGTAAAGCCCCTCTCTCTCATCTGTTAGAACTTGGGAATGAGAGACTCTCTTGAAAGTTATAGACTGACAACCAATAGCAAGTGTTTGCTGAGATCCTATTTAAACATATGTAGAACAAGAGACTTGGGGCATTTTGCATACTATAGAAAGAAATGGAGAGAAGAAGACAGCATCTTCAGACCTGAGGAAACTGATTAAAAAGTCACTTAGAAAATACATACCCATAAAAATCTAGAAAATAATAAATTAATGTCAGGCCAGGTGGTACAGTCCATAATCCAAGTTACTCAGGAGGCAGATGCAAGATGCAAGAGAATTGCAAGTTGGAGGCTTAACTTCACTATACAGTATGTTCAAGGCAAGACTAGGCAATTTATAAGGACTGTCTCAAAATGGGCCTTATAGAGCACTTGCCTAGCTTGCATGAGCAAGGTCTTTGTTCAATCCTCAGTACTACAAATAATTAATTATTAACTAAAAACAGTGCATAGTAAGAAGAGCTGATAACCTTATCCAAAAATTCAGACAAGTTGGGAGAAAGAATGGAAGTGTTTGAGGCATCAATTAGTCTGCAGAATCTTCATGATGACACTTAAACTGGGATTTGGAAGGACTGGATTCAGACTTGTATGCAGACTGTGGGATTGAGCATGAAGAGAAAGAGGGAAGCCAAGTTCTAATGTAGGTATCTCTTTCCTTGCTGTCTTTCTCTGTTCTTCCCCCAACTTGACCTACCTGGTCCCTCATGTTCCCCTCTCCCCTCCTCTTTTTCTTCTCATCTTTCTCCTACCTCCCTCTCCCTCATGCTCCCAATTTACTCAGGAGATCTTGTCTCTTTCCCCTTCTGTGTGGAGGGGCAGGGGTCCATTCATGTCTCTCTTAGCATCCTCCTTGTTTCCTAGCTTCTCTGGGGTTGTGGATTGTAGGCTGGTAATGCTTTGTTCTATGTCTAATGTCCACTGATGAGTGAGTATATACCATGTTCATCTTTCTGTGACCGGGTTACCTCAGTCAGGATGCTATACAGAATGGAGTGCTACTCAGCAGAAAAAAAAAAAAAAAAAACAGTGACATCTTGAAATTCGAAGGCAAATGGATGAAAATACTCTTTTTTTTATCTTCACCAGGGTTAAAACACAGTGGCCCTGGTCACTTCTTTGAGAGCAAAAATATTTTCTTTTTAGTATCAATCATTAACTAGCTATATTTTCTGGTTAGCTGTTTAAGAGAAAGAGAAACTCTTCAGTACCTGAGTAAATAGTTCATTAGCTAGTTCAGCTCAGGTATCCACCCAAATAGACCTTTGTACCCTTGACTTCAAGCTTGTGTCTGCTTCTCAGAGTCCTTAACTGAAGGCAACAGCAGTATAGGTACCTCCCAAAACAGTAAGGAGATAGGGCAGAAAGGAGAGGCAAGAAAGTGAAGCAAAGATCAGTTTGTTAATTACAGGTCTCCTTCTGGGTGCACCACTGTCAATGGCCTATTCATTCCCCATTCTTTGAAAGAAAGAAGAGAAATATTGAAAATATTCAATGACTTCAGATTCCTGGAAATGGATGTGAATATTCAAAATGAAGATTTTACAAAATAAAAACAAGCTCCTTGCTTCTGTGTCTCTCTTTAGGTAGCAATTTCCTTTGTTATTCATTTCTACAATTCATTAAGAAAACTGAAGGGAACATTGGCTTTTCTGAGAAGCACTCTTAAAATCAAGAGACTCAGTGAATTGTGCTGCACAGTGACTACAGTTATTAACAATGTATTGTATGCTTGAAAATCAGAGTCAATTTTAATTGGTTTCATAGAAACAAAAACAAGATAACTCTGTGAGATAATGCTTACGCTAATTAACTCAAGCCTTTGCAGAATGTATACATATTTTGAAATATAATTTTATACACAATAAAGAAATATGTGTAATTTTTAAAGGGGAAATCTGATGGGAGCCCATGCCTACACAAACAACTCCAGGCACCTAAGGAATGCTGAGAGTGGGAGAAATAGTTTCCCCAGGGAAGAACTCACCTAATTGGTTACTCAATATCAAATGGTCAGCCCAGAAATTATGTACATACAAATAAGACTAAATAGACTGAGCACACTGTATTATATATTTAGGTGTGTGTGTGTGTGTGTGTGTGTGTGTGTGTGTGTGTGTGTGTGTGTGTAAGAGAGAGAGAGAGAGAATTTCACAGGGATAAAGGCAGGGTACATGGGAGGGTTTAAAGGGAGGAAAGGGAAGAGAGAAAATGATGTAATTGTTCTATATAATAATTTAAACAATGAAGCAAAGAAGGTAGGAAAATGTACATAAAACTGTTTAAACCTCTAAACTAAAAACAGAGAAAAGGAGAGATAGAGAGAGAGAGAGAGAGAGAGAGAGAGAGAGAGAGAGAAGAGATAACAGAACTTCTGTATTTCTCAAGGCATCCATTAGAGACCAGCTAGAATGTGGAAAGGGACATGCTCAAGGTGACAAATTTCAGAAGGCACTCACTTTCGGGGTCATGAGAATTCAGAGTAAACATTTGCATGAACTTAATGGTGAGTGCCCCTTTCCATTTTGCTCCTCAGAAGCCTAACTTACCCTATCTTGGTCCTTGCTGTGCTATTGTCCATAATTATGTTGAGCAACTTATACAGAGCCATTCCCTTTTTGCTGTCCCAGGTACAAAGCTATCGTCCGACCAATGGATATCCAGGCATCACACGCCCTGATGAAGATCTGTCTCAAAGCTGCCTTGATCTGGATTGTCTCTATGCTGTTGGCCATCCCAGAGGCTGTGTTTTCTGACCTCCATCCGTTCCATGTGAAAGATACCAACCAAACCTTCATTAGCTGTGCCCCCTACCCACACTCTAATGAGCTGCACCCTAAAATCCACTCTATGGCTTCCTTTCTGGTTTTCTACATTATCCCACTGTCAATCATCTCTGTCTACTACTACTTCATTGCCCGAAATCTGATTCAGAGTGCCTACAATCTTCCCGTGGAAGGCAATATACATGTCAAGAAGCAGGTGGGTGCTTACTGTTGATTCATTGTCCTCCTTAGGCACTTGGCCTCTTGTATTCATTTTGGATCTTAGTGACAAGTAGGTTGCATAAGTAATCACATCACTTGATTTTGAGATTCTATGAAGTGAGTGATGCCTCTTTAAGGGCCTTGGCTTATTTCCATGATTGGGCACTTGCCTAGTATACACAAGGCCCTGGATTCGCTGTGAAAAGGAAAATAATTTCAGGGACTCCAATGCTTTCTATAGATACTTCTTTTAATTCCAATCATGCTCTTTGATTAGGAAGAGAGTAACTATAGATAAAGCAGAGGGAGAAGGAAAAGGAGAGTGGATGAAGAAAAAGAGACAATCTGGTTAAGAGGGGGGTACTAAAGTCAAATGACATGACATGCTTGAACACCTATGTCGTCGTGAAACCCATCTCTATCTACACAGTGAAAAAAGAAAGGTTTATAGAATGACTGACTCAACTCCATATTTGATTTTCCCTCTTGAAGTCTCAATTTTCTTATCATTGTTTCAGTGATAGTTTCTATTTCAGAAGGTTATTGGAAAATTATGAGAGCATGTGTAATAGCTACAGGTCCCAGCATGCAGGATATCCCCATATGTTACTCCTCCCTCTATCTCCCATAAACTCCTGAAATTTTATCCTGTGGGGACAACAAGTAGAAACTAGTGGCTCTGGTTTTCCTTTCTTTGCCAGTATTTTTAATTTTTATATTTATGTATTTTAATTTTATGTATATGTGTGTTTGCCTACAATGTATGTGTACTATGAGTGTGCTGGTATCCATGGAAGTCAGAAGAAGGCACCAAATCCCATTGGAGGAGACTTATATATGGTTGTGAGCCACCATGTGGATGCTGGAAACTGAATCCAGGTCCTTTGCAAGCCATCTCTCTGGCCTCAGTCACTTCTTTTTTGATTCCTAGCCCAAATGGAGATCTTTGATATATTTAATGGTACATCAAAAGACCCCCAACTCCTTGGAAGTGAATAGCTGATTCCTTTGGAGGGCTCCTCTTTCAATGTTCTTTTTCTACCAAGGAGAAATGGTGGTTGCCAGAACAACTGGCTGACTATTTGAAAGGCCTTTTAGTAAGCAAACACCCACTGTATCCCAAATTGTTTAATGAGAAAGAAGTCCCCCCTTGAAGTCACAAGGGGAGCTAAGTGCTGAGATGTTCACTCTGCTTTGTGTAATCACCTTCCTCACAGTGTAGTCCAGAAATAGCTAGAGATTAAAAAAATAATAATACAGACTTATCTCAGCTTGGCCAATGAGGGAGAATAAAGCTGGTTGCTGTTCTGAGCATCAGAGGGGATAAGAAATAATTAACTGTAGAGCAAAGAAAGGCATGAAGTAGAATGGCTGATAAACTGCCCCAATGCTCTCTGGAGGGGAAAGAGGGCACTTACTAGAATTTCATTGTGCGATCCATTCAAGCATGTAATCAACTTTGTTTAAAGATCTGTTCTCAGCAGCATGTTCTAACTATTTTACCTCATGGGTTTCTGCTTCCTGCCTTGTCAATCAGTGTTTCAGATTCTGTTTCCTTCCTTTTTCCTCTCTCTCTGTCTCTCTCTGTCTCTCTCTGTCTCTCTCTGTCTCTGTCTCTGTCTCTGTCTCTCTGTCCTCTCTCTCTCTCTCTCTCTCTCTCTCTCTCTCACACACACACACACACACACACACACTATCTTCAATTCCAATTGAACTTTCTGTGGCTCTGCTCCCTCATCCATTTCCTTGTCTGTGTCTGCTTGTCTTCATTCCTCTAACACTGCACCCCCTCTACCTCTCTCTGCTCAGATTGAATCCCGGAAGCGACTTGCCAAGACAGTACTGGTGTTTGTGGGACTCTTTGCCTTCTGTTGGCTCCCCAATCACGTCATCTACCTGTACCGCTCCTACCACTACTCAGAGGTGGACACCTCCATGCTCCACTTTGTCACCAGCATCTGTGCCCGCCTCCTGGCCTTCACCAACTCCTGTGTGAACCCCTTTGCCCTCTATCTGCTGAGCAAGAGCTTCAGGAAGCAGTTCAACACTCAGCTTCTCTGCTGCCAGCCTGGCCTAATGAGCCGGTCCCACAGCACTGGGAGAAGTACCACCTGCATGACCTCCTTCAAAAGTACCAACCCCTCAGCCACCTTCAGCCTCATCAATGGAAACATCTATCATGAGGGGTATGTCTAGACTAATCCCTCGACATTGCCTCCTAAGGGACTCCAGATTTTGTTTTATGGATGGCCAGGAGCCCTGTAATTGGTTGTTATCTCTGTACTTTCCAAAGACCCTTCAGGAGGCTGAGGGATACAGATGGGTAGGAGAGATGTGCAAATGCACCAATCACTATTGTATCTCAAAGTGCTGGCTTCATTTTCCATTTCAGTTTGGGAGGGCTTCTTCTGATGGAGATCAAATCTTCCTTTAAAGAGGAAGGAACAAATTGGAAATTATTACCCAAAGCGCCAAGCCCTGCTATGCAAGTATGGTCAATTAAGTCATAGAAATTGTATGAACAAAGAGAGCTGAGAAGCCATGCATTGGATATCTACTCTGTGAAAGATTTTATTTAAACAGAAGCTGATTGCTTTCAAAACATGGCTTGACTCTTTTTTCCAGAAATATCTATAATATGTAAACTAAGGGACAACTTTAATTTACATTCCTAAAACTAGAAGCCAACTCTAAAAAAGAGTCCCATGTGTGAGGAATGGACTTAATTTATAACATTGGATGCCAGTGTAATATAAAACAAACCTCTAAATATTGACTTTTAAAAAAAAATGTTGCTGAGGACATGGGAGAAACACCCACTATAAAATGTTAAGACAAATTACAAGCAAACAATAGATCCATGTATGAATATAGAACAATAGCTTATGCTCTGACTTCTCATTTCATCAAAATTCTGGTTGTCATTAATCCAATTTGGGCCATTGCAGTGTCATTCTTCCATGGAGGAGAAATCCTTTTGTGAGAAAAAAAATGATCATTTTATCAAAGCAACAACTATGTATAAATGTATAAATGGTGGTGTGTATTCTTGGTATGCATATATTGAATCAAATGTATTTACTTAGGTTTAATTGTCCTTGCTATGGTGAAGCAGTAGTTTCAATTTGAGAAAGAGCATAACTGTAGATAAATAAAATCATGTTTATACTGGATGTATAGGTCCCCTAAAGTTTGGGAAGGAAATTAATATAATATAATTTTAGTAACATGATCTGATGTCTGAACATGTATAAAAAGTCATAGAAAGCTTAGATTTTTGAACCAACAAAAAGGTACATATTTGTTTCTATTTTAAAAGAATGTGTATGAAATAGTCCACATGCAGAAAAAGACTAGACAAGCAGCTCCATTTTTCTCTAAATGCATAGAGAGTACTCTAAAGTTTGGACCATCTTACTTGAGAAATTCTGCTTTGACTTTTTCTGAACTTAAAGATGGGCCAATTCTGACATACTGTGAATATGCAAACTCACTTGACTCTAAGTCTAAATTGTACAAGTGTTTCCTAATGTGTATTCCTTAATTCCTAAGGCAATTTTAGTTCAAGCTTTCTCTGCCTGGGTGAGATATAAACAGCAAGCACATAGCACATATAAAAAGCTTTCTGTTGGTTGATGTGGAGAAGTACTGGCTAACTGTGGAGCTTTAGGCATTAGGACCAAGACAGTGTAAGGATTTGTGCTTACAGTTGTACCATCTGGAACAAAATCTCTTCATTCCCATTTTCTCTGGGCTTTTATGTACTGTAAACACAAGCTTTTCTGGTAGTCCTTAATTACATTGCACTGTTTGAAAAGCAAGACAGACAGACAGTGGAGGTAAAAGAACCAAGATGTCTTGCTATCCCAACCTTACCTCTAGCTATATGACTTTGTCTATCAGTTTTTCCACCTCTAGGCTCCTTTTTCATGTTTAAAATGAGAAGACAGAGCTAAGTCCCTTTTATTGCTAAGATTCTCTGAGTCTCTTCATCATCTCCAGCTCTGTCTTGAAAACACAGGTATGGTCCACCTCCGTAGTTACAGAACCCTTCACCCATTCTTCCATGTTCCCATGTACCTGGGCAGGATGAAAGAAGCTAGGTTGTTCGGCTACCCAGGGACTCTTTGGCTTCACTCACATGAATAAAGGTTCATGAGCTTGCACTGTTTTAGAATTAGAGCTGAAAGATTTATAAGAAAACATGTGGCCCAGTCTTCTCACTGTTCAAAGGGAAGTCTTGCTCTTCACTCTTTTTTAGCTTTCACACACCTGTTCTCTTAAAATACTGTGTCACAACTTTACTCTTTTGCCTCAGCCCTTCAAAACCCTTGAGCATAAATGGCTCCATGCCTGGATAGTTGTTAACATAGACAGCATTCTGGGATGTCAAGAATTCTGGCATATGGAATTTAGGGTAATAGTTTTAGCATCTCTGATATACCTGCTCCTAGAGACATTTCCGGAACAGGATTCAGCTTCCTGTCTCCCCCAGTTAATATCAGGGCACAGACAGTGGGTCTCTTTACTAGCTACTAGACAAACAGTGAGAAGATCTGGGTATTGCTATGCGTCTTGAGGCAAATCTTGTTACTTTCTTGTGACTTGTAAATGAAAGAGTTGGAAGGAGTTTTGGCAGCTGGTGACCTAAACTGATAAAACACAGAGTGAATTAAACAATGGGTTGACCTAGACGTTCTTATTAGGAAAGACTTCACCGGTCCATCTCTTCTCTAACTAAATTTAAGTTTTGTTTTAAAATAAAAAACCTAAAAGCATAGGAGAAACCTGAAATCCATGTAGTGTCCCTTCTTCACCAGGGCAGAACACACGGGGGCTGGAGCTGAGCCATTTCATGCCTGGCTTCCAAAGATAATCACGTTTAGCACTTATGTCTTTGGTGAAGGAAAAAAAAATCAATTTTTGCTGTGGAAAACCATCTGTGTTTATTCAATTGACAGATACTACCTTTCAATCTATCTTAAATTGAGCCTCCCCAAGGCAGGCAGCTCAACAGTGATAGATTAAGCAATAAACAAAGCAGTCTCCCCACCAAGGGCTGCTGCTGGCAGGGAAGGTACAGCTGCCATTGGGAGTGATATTCTACAGCAAGATGATCCTCCCTGGTTAGTGCAGACAAGGCCCCTCCCTGCTGATGATTTTATGATTCCCCATAAATGTGCATGGCTCAACCCAGTTCTTCTGGCTGCTCTCCCTTCCCCACTGAATCTAGCTTTCTGCCTCATTAGCAAAGCCTCTTTGCCCCACTAATAATTTGGTCCTTCAGCTTAGAGGATGGAGAGCCCGTGGGGAAACTATTCAGAAGCTGCTACAGACGAAGCAGCCTCGTCTTGTTAGAAAAGTGCACACTGAACAAAAGTAAATGAACGTGACTATAAGACGTGGGAGAACTTGGATTATAAAGTTCATGCTTCTGCCAAGAGGAGCAGTTGGTTATTGGTCTCCAAGCCTCATCATGTGTCAGATGGCTTCTAGTAAAAGGGATTATCTTTGTTTGGAGAATGACGTGTTGAATGGCATCCTCATCTGTGGGCTAAAAGGTGGCTAAGTCACTTTCTCCAGAATCTAGATAGAAACAATTGCCCCGAGGACCTGACTGTATGAGGATTGAATTAACAGTGTGCCCCAAATCATGCTAAAAGGGGGAAATACACACTGTCTTGCCATCGGATCTCTTCACATCCACACTAGAAGGGAGTGGTTGTGAGAGAATAGATTAGAATTAGCCCTGGGATTCGGGGAGGAACAGAACATATTTCACAAAATTCCTCTAAATTTTGCCCCATTTTCATGGAATGAACTAACAGCTGAAAGGAAGCAAGAATGCTTTACTTTTATGGGACCAATTTCTCTCACTCTGTCTTTCTGTGTGCATGTGCACACATGCTATTCAGTGGAACCACACCACCCTAAACACCCCTTCCTTCTGTATTTGTGTCTGGATTGCTATTCCTCCCAGCCATAACCCTCCCATAGCACACAGACACAGCAACTTTAACACTGCTCCACTCTTACTATAATTTTGGCCTTCAAGGCCAGTGAGATAGCTCAATGGCTAAAAGCACTTACTTCTGAGTCAGACACACTGAATTCCATCCCCAGAATCCATATGGTTGAAGGTGAGAGCTATCCTGTAAGTTGTCTTCTGACTTCCACACATACACCATGCTACTACATTCATGCTCTCCACACAACCCCTCCCATACGCACATAAAGAGTTTAAAATATTATAATTTGGGCTTTCAAAGATATCCTTTGTTAGATAAAGAAGGACCAAGCATATGCTCCAGGAAAACATAGATCTAGAGCAGTCAACAAATGGCACATGAAGAACAAACTTGCCTTTCATGAAACCTCATGTTAGAAATACACTCAATGGAGTTGAAATACGTTCTTAAAGTTTCAAGGTTTCACATGTATTCAATGTAGGATCCTTGGGTTAGACTATTACGGTCCATGATTAATTTAAAAGAATATTGCATTTACCTCATGTTCATGGTCTGTAAAGAATTCTCACACGCATTACCTCATCAAACCAATGCCTTTCCCAATGACCAAAAAGCCCATTTACATAATTTAGTATGGGAATTTAGAAGTATTAAATTCACTTACTTGTGACCATGTAGCACTGAATTAAAAGGTCCATGGAACCATGGGACTGAAACATGAGCTGTCAAAATCAAACCACATTTGACCTATGAAAAAGAAAAGGCTGTTTCATCCACTGAAATTTAATCTGATTCTATTTTGCTCTGATCTGAATTAACCATGCTTTATTTTTGTGGCTCAATCTGTGAAAAATGACTATCACTGCTTCCCCAGTTTCCAAGACATTTTGGTACCCCTAGAAAGAATCTCCCTACCTTGGTACAAGAGGGTTAGTAGGGTTATTGTTGTCTGCATAGAAGTGGGAATATCTTCTCATGTTATAAGGAAGTGGAAGGCAGAGATATAGGACAAAATGCTTGGGGAAAATAATGACCATGAAATGAATATAATTTATCCCAAACCTGAGTAGATTCCTGTGGCTTTGAAAGTGCTAGGACTCAAGGGATTTAGTGTCAGCAAACATTCAAATGTGAACTGCTATCCTAGGCATATGAAACCATGATTCAAAAGCATTACTTAACAATCCTAAAATTACATGGAAGAGTCAAGTGGCAGAATACAAATATAGACCAGAATCTCTCTGGATTCTACACCTTCACCCAGTATTACTTCCCAAATCCAGGTTGTGTGAGAAATGAAGCTAACAGGACTTAATACAAAGTCCTCTTGCTACTCTAGATGTCTAAAGGCCTGATCTAGTAATGATAGGGGATCAGGTAAAGGACTCATTGAAGGCCAAGGCCGGGATGCAGTACAAACTGGTTGATCAGGGAAGTCCCTTAGCTTGTACTTTCATCTCAACCCAGAGATACATATTAGTTGCAAGCACCAACTAAGTCACATGGTTTTGTGACTAACTGAAAAACCTACTGAACATGTTGCTTGGGGACACATGCTTGTAATACCAGCATTCAAGAGACTGAGGCACAAGAATTGCTGCAAGTTCCAGGACAGCTAGGGCTATGTAGTGACACTTTGTCTCAAAACAACCCAATCAAACAATAACTCAGCAATGGACAAAGTCAGAGAAGAGGACCCAGTCCTAACAATCAAGCCTTTTTTTTACTCAGGATTCATTGGAGAAAGAGTATCAAGAAAGAGGCAAAGCCACCCACTCACCCCCACCCCTTGTCCTTACTAAATAAATAAGATATGGCAATGGATGGTTTCCTGGAATGGCCTCTCATAGAAAAAAATACTTCCTGGACTAAGAGACTTGTCCAGGAACTCAAATAAGGAATCAATAGTCTGGATGCCCTGTTAGAATTCCGGATCTCACTGTCTCTGCCCTCCCTGTGTTCATACATTTCTAGGAGATAAGATTTGTATTTCCCCAAATTCAAAATTCACTCCATGGAGAGACATTCATAACTTTATGGTTTCTTAAGAGCATCATTTTAATGGATAATAAAACCTCATACATTCAAGTCTTCATTAATTCCCAGACAAGCTTGAATTTTTTTTTATTTATCTCGGAACCTCAATATTTAAGACACATTGTACAATTTGGGCCTTTTGTGTATCCAAGGTTTTCTTTGAGTTGGCCTTAGCTATCGACTATGACAATGTAAGAGAAAAAATGCTTTCCCTAAAACAATATTTTGTTCTGTACGCTGAGCTTTACTGATCTGTATATGACCTTTCTTGCAATAGAGACAACAGGGTTTGAGATGATACACTCCAGTGAGGTGTGAAACTACATGGCACAAGCTTCTTTAGTGTCGTTTTATGTTTTGTTTTAAATACTAGGCACATATTTTGTAAATTATAATTGTACTTGTTAATATTAGCCATAAATATTTATTGCATTGAAAAATAAACTCTGTGTTAAATAACTCAGAACAAGTTCCAGGTGTGGTACTCAGTGTAAATAATGTCATAGCTTGGTTTTGTCTAGGCTCTTTGGATTAGTGAATTATGTAGAAGAAATTCACACTATGAACACGACTGACTCAGCTCCTTTTACCTTTGTCATGTGTGTAACTGTGTAGTCATGTGAAACTCACTCAGTAGAAAGTGTGCTCTGTAATTGAATTTGGATTTTTCCAGAAACTCTTCCAAAGCTACTATCCCATCTCGTGTGCTCTCTGTGATAGTAACTCAAACCCACTGTAGAAAACTCAGTGTTCAAAGTGGTAGAAGAGAAGTAGTTGCTCTTATTTCTGGACAAAATAAAGCATAATTATAAACTGGACAGACGCATGCATCCAATAGTGAATAAAGTGGTTGTTTCATGACTGCAGTTTGTGGCTCTGTGTCCCTTTTATTTTTAATAATAACTATCATTATTACTATTAATTTAGGGGGACATGTACATGAGGGCGCACACACAGGAGACCAACTTGTGGGAGGCAGTTTTTTCTTCTGCCATGTGGATCCTGGGCATCAAACTCAGTTTTCAGGCTTAGTGGCAGGCAGCTTTTAATTGCTGGGCCATCTCACCAGCCCTGTCCTTTAGATTGTTGGTTCCTCAGACCTACATCAGAATCAATAAGGCTGATTTGCTGCAAAATGCAGAGTTTCAAATATTTTAAGATGGAACATTCTGCATTGAAATACAAGCACTCCAGATAATTCTCAATAACAGGTTTTATTGAAACTTTACTTATATACTTAGCATTTTAAAACACATTTTACTTTTTCATTTTAAAAATATTATTAATTTTGAGGCGAAAGGGTTTATTTTAGCACACTATGCCAGGTTACAGGTCAAGGTGCATGGTGTGAAATTCCCAAAGAATCAATAAAAAAATAAGCCTATGGAAATTTTTAATGTATTTTTGAGTGTTAGATTTTTTATATATAAATAAACTATTTTATGCATTATGGGAAAGTAGGGAGAGGATTTGTGATCATAGATTTACAAAACATAAAATATACACAGGGAGATTGATGTGTTATGAAAATACTTGTTATGTGGAAGAATTTTCATCTAAATTCACATGTAAATGGAATGCAAACTATCTTTACACAAATAAAAGGATTTTCCCCTCCATCCAACATTCTGTCTAAATCACTACTAATGCAACATACAAAGAGTAGAACAGGAAGTTTTTCCTATTTACTTTCAAATTTCATTATGGTGGATGAATCTGAGTCTTGATCAACAGAGCCTTTTTCCTTGACTTCCTTAGATTTTATGTGTCTGTATCTGTATAAACAAATTTTATTAATTCTTTGAGAATTTCACACAATGTGTTTTTTATCTTATTCATCCTTTACTCCTCCCCTACCTCTTCCCAGACCCACCCCACCTCCCTATGCACCCAC